GGGGCCGCCGAAGGTGGATATTGTGAGTGTGAGCGTGGACGATGTGCCGGTGCTGTACGAGACGACCATGGCGGTGAAGCAGGAGGAGCCAGGCGTGGGGTTGCCGTTTGAGCAAATGGGCGGGCAGGAGTGGGTGAGTTGGGTGAAGCTCCGCGTTGGAGCCGCCGGTGGCGGACGCGTCGTCGTCGACTATGTGGTCAAAGATCTCGATGGGCAGCTCGATAATGATAAGAAGGGTAAAATGAAGGCAAAAGATTTTACACAGTTCGACGTGTACCTGCCGTCGTTCGGTATACCCGTGGGGAGACTGGAGGTTAATATTGACGGTATTCAGGGTAAGCCGCCTCCTTTTCCTTAGTCGCACAGTAGTCTAACTCGAATTTAGGCCTGGAAATTTCGTCCTTACGATCCAATTTCTCCCACCACCAATCTATACAATCTGGACGGCGTCTACTGCATTATTCTCTACAGCCATTCTTCTACCCCCACATTTCTTTGGACATCAGGCTGGACCGTCACCGGCACTCCAACACACATATCTTCTCGCCCACCTCGACCAGTTTCGGCCAGCTCTCGATACTGCTCGTGTCCTTGGCCATCCTTATGCTCGGATCCGTCCACCTTTTCCGGCTGAATTCGGCGGTGTCGCAACTCTCGAGTTCGCTCGAAGGCTATTCGCTCGCTGTGGGCTCGGGGTGGACCCAGGCTCCGGAGCCTATCACCATTACCTCCACCGCCTTCCAAGCAAGTCGGTGGCAGTGGTTCAATGGCGAGGACGGAGCAGACTCAGACTCGGCGGCCTCGGAATCCCCGGAGCCGAATCTCACGAGCAGCACCAGTCCTTCGGTCGCGCTGACCTCCCCACCGGCGCCTTCCGCTGTGGAGACGCCGAAGGTCGTACCAACCCTCACCGCCGAACCTTCTTCCTCTGTTTCTCTCTTCCAGCCTCTTGCCTGGAACATCAGCTGGTCCTGGCCCGAAATAGACAGGGAACTGGCACTGGAAAAACTATTATGGGGTGCGGAGAAAGTTTGGCAGCTGCTACGGAAAATATACCACTACCCATTGGAACCTACTTGATATATACCGCACGATTTAACGACATTTGTAACATACATATATGTTTATGATTTAATGGTTTATGACTGACGTACGCTCGCTGGTGTCCACCCGTTCTTGTACGCCGTACAAGACGCCTCTAGAACACCAAGTAATATCTTGCTAGCTGCTTGCTCGTTACTACCTACACGAGCCTACGATACCCGACGTTTGGCCGTGGCCCATTTAGGTCTGTCAACGCAAATGAGTATTCATGCACCGAACTCACTCGCAGAGCCCAACGCCTCGCGACCCGCGTTCTCCCGCCAAACCTCTGGCTCAGTGGAGCACTCGCCGCCCATTTCAAAGCTGCGGCCAAAAACCGAAACCGCGCAGACTCCAAGTCCGTGCGCACGACACTAGAGATTCACAACACAGGGTTGCAGCACTGTTCAATTCCACTACATTGCGATTATTTTACCATAGCCATTATTCATAATTTTTTTTTGTTTTCTTTTTCCCCAACGCTAAACCCCAGCACCAGCACCGCCCCGAACCTTTTCCAGCGCGCGGAGGCCCGCTATCTCAGCCGCAATACGCGGGTTCCTCGAGGGGACAGAACCTTCAACGACGGGAGGGACGAAAATCTTCTTGGGCCAGCGTGCGCCTTGCTTGTAGGTAGATGCGGAACTGCTCGCCACGTTGGTGTCGACGGCGCCGAGGGGTACGCGCCGACCGCCGGCCCCCTTCTGCTGCCGGAAAAGCTTGACGAGCTCGCCTTCCTCCTTGGGTTCCGCCATCTTATTCGCCTTCGGAGAAGACCGCCGCCAGTTCTTGACGGCAGCGGCCTTGGCTTCGGACTCGTCATTCTCCGTCTCCCTCGCCTTCATCCTGGTCCTGGAGGTGGCGGCGACCTTGGTAGTATCGGCCTTCTTATTCACTTTGTCCTTGGCTTTCGGCGAGGGGTTCCAGCTCCAAGGCGCGGCCTTCAGCTCAGACTGCGCGTTCTCCTTCTCCTTCCAGGGGCGAAGAGTGGACTTAAGAGTACTGGGGGAACAGTTGGTGGAGGAGGTGGAGGCGGTCGTGGTGGGCGGGACTTGTCGAGGCGGACGGATAGTGCCATCCTTGGTACGGCGCGCAATGACGTCCGTCAACTCTTTTATAACATCCGTGGGACGCTTCCGCACGGCGGGCCCCTTGCCAATCTTGATGCCGGGAGCAGCCACCTTGACGGGTGGGGGCGGAGGAGGAGGGGGAGGTGGGAGAGGGGGACCAGTAGGAGACACAATTTGCGCGGGTATAGGCTCCTCTTGCGGCTCAGTCTGAACGCCCATCTCGACCATTGAAAGTTCCTTGGTCTGGATCGCCATGTCCACCGTCGGCCGTGGTGTCTGCGCAAAGATGATATTAGATTGTTGAACAGAGTCGGAGTCGGCATACTCACTTGCTCCTCCTGCTCGGTCTGAATAAGCACCTCCGCCGTCCTGCGAGGTCTAACCGCTGAAGGGCACAAGTCCTCCACATTGACCTCACCTGTCTTCTCCATCGTTCCTTCGAGGGCCGGTTCGTCGACCTTGGTATTTGCGAGAGCGTCCAATGCCGGAGAAACGTCGACAGCGGTGACATCTGACCCGTACGAAACACCGGAAACGGCACGCGGCGGGCTTGAAGGAGCGCGCGCGCCGCAGAGGGCACATGTAGACCTCGGGGAGCTAGTCCTGGAGCGGTGATGTCCGACGAAACGAGGAATTCGAGACGGTCGTGGCGGGCGTGTGGTATATAACGGAGACCGGTGAACGGGTGGTTGAGGAGTTGAGGGTGCCAGCCCAGTAGACAAGCGCAGGGGTCTGAGGCCGGAGCCCGCAGAATTCGGAGATGCCATGGGGTTGCCGAGGACGCGAGGGGTCTTGGTAAAGACGGGAACAGTTCTGAAGATGAAGATCACCGGATGAATGAATAGGGACGAAAGCCTCCTCGGGGGGGAGGACGAGCGCATGGTATCGCGGTCGTCCACCGTGAGCGGGTTGCGAGGTACCATCCGTCGGAGGGGAGCGGGGGGCCAGAGACTAGGGGAAGGGGTGTGGGCAGCGGTGTCGGTCTCCAAAGCGTCCTCTCCCGTGACTAGGATATAGACCGACGAGACATTGACCGTGTTCTTCTTCTTAAGCCGCAGGCGTTGTAGCAAACGGGTGCCTTTCCCGACTTGCGCTGCTTGATCTATTCCATCTATGAGAACCAAGGGCTTCAGCCCGGGAGTTGGCCTATGAGATTTGGGTTTGGAGGTACGGAGATTCTGCAATACACGGGTTAACACTCAGCGTGAAGCGGAGTGGACTAAGAGTGGAGCACACACCTTGAGTGCGAGCATATTGGATGCTCTGAGAGCGAGTTTTTGAAGGTTGTGGGTGTTGGAGACAAGAGAAGATGAAGCTAGTGTGTCTTGACTGTGTCAGCCTCCTTTCTTTAAGAGTGCCGATTAAGTTGGCCATGCCGGCCAGAACCATGCCGGGGAAGCGTGGTCAAATTCAACTTCAAGAGCCCAGAGCTTTTGAGACGAGGTAGATTTTGTTTTCAAGTCTTTCGAATGGCAGCGGCCGCCGCAGAAATCGTAGGAGCGCTAGCATCCAAGTTCGTCGTCAAGTGCATCGAGTCGCCCGAGGACCACCAGCAGCTCCGAACCGTCAACGTCACGTAAGATTCCCACAGAAGGTTGAATACTCGCTGGAATACGCTGAGTGGGTCGAGTAACTTGAAGCTCGGCTTGAAGTACATCGCGTCGTGGAGGACGCGTTTGATGGCATCAATAACGCTTCCTCTCACACCTTGCCCCATTCGTCTTTTATTCTCCTTGGTTGCCTGTGGACATCCGACAATCAAGCTCAGAATAATTCAAGGACGGAGCTACAATTTTTTTCTCGGCTTGGACGTTCTCCTCCCCGACGAGTTTAATTATAATTTCAAGGTCTGTAAGAAATGCCAGGCGCCTGTAGTTTCAGCGGAAACTCATTGCCAGTACTTACTCTAGCCACTCGGGCCTACTTGTGTTTCTCTTCTCTGGGAAGCTCTAGCCTGCTCTATCCCATCGTTTCTTCATATTCCGGCTTGTCAATGCTCACCAGTACTTTCGGATTCGCAGACGTGGACTCGGGCTCGTGCATCAGCTCTCAACGAAATAACCTAGAGCCTAGACAGTGGACTCGGACTAGCAGGGGTCGTCAAAATCTCAACAGTTCGATGTGGCGAATGCTACGATATTCATACTCGCAAATAACAGCGACACCTCTTGTTCTCATTGACGATCACGACGAAATTCGCAATCACAGCGCAAGTGCTCTCCTTGGCGGCTAATAATCTTGGGATGGCTAACGATGCGTCTCAGCTCAGCGGTTTGTTTCCATTTCAGTCGAGTTAGAATTCCGAGTAAATTACTCTCAGGAAGCTCAGCTGTGCGGCCCCGGATATCGATTGACGCAGTTCAAAAAAAAAAACACGACTGTCTCGGCTACGAACCATGTTCACTCACGGCAAATTTCTTCAACCACGACACGGGCGTGTGCTGTTGACTTGGCGTCAGAGCTCAATGTTTTCGATGTGCGACCAATCAAGTCCTGGACTTTCTCTGCCTCGCATTCCAGCAGCTACGGCGAATCCCACCTCATACCTGCCTCCAGAACACTCCAAAAACACGTATACCATGCTCCAAGAGTCAGGCTGTTCCTAAAAACAACAATCCTCAAGTGTCATCCCTTCTGCTTTGCTTCTGCTCTTAACTGGCGGCGACAAAACAACTCTTCCCCATCTCATATCTATCCCCCGGTACATATGAGAGTGGGCACCTTCTGTATTAGGTTCGATTGGGCGAGGTTAAGACTTGGAACTGTCCCAAATACGAAACTTGCTTTAATCAAACTCACTCACCACCTACCTTCACGTCTGGACGGCCTATTTCTCCATCCAAGAACGGCACGATGGCCGAGTGGTTAAGGCGACAGATTCGAATCAGTCGCCATCTGTTCCGGTTTCCGGGCGCAGGTTCAAATCCTGCTCGTGTCGTTTGTTTTTGGCCCTTTCTTTCGTTTCCACTAATCGCCCACCTTCGCTGTATTCCTTTTTCACAACAAATTGCTCGGTCTTTTGGGAGCTTGGATGACTCTCGACATAGGGCTTATACGTCTCTTGAACAAATAATGCATACATTTGCGCAGAAATGGCTTGGAACTCAACCATTTGTGTCTTTCCTCCATTACAACGAACCTCGATTTCAGTGTCCACCCTTTTCTACGAAAGAACACGACCAACTTGTAATGCTCTCGTCCGCCCTTCTCAAGATCAGAAATTAGAAATACGGTTCTCTGGTTATGCCCCGTTCCTCTTCTCCCATCACTCCGCAATCTTCGCCCGCACATCGGGATCGTGCACAAAAGGTTCCATGATCTTCACGATATCTTGCAGCTGGTTCGCCAGGGCCAGATCGAGAGCTGTCTGTCCGACGTCGTTGGTTTTGTCGGGCATTGCTCCGAATCGACACAAGAGCTCAACGCACTCGTTCCCATAAAGAAATCGCCGCTCCCCGCAAGCGCTGTGGAGAACGGTATCTCCTTCGATGTCTCCATTATTCGGGTCTACTCCGCGTTCAAGAAAGAAGCGGAGCACCTCGACGTCTGTGCAACAGGTAAGAACGTTGCATAGCTGGTCGTTCCGGACATGGACATCGGCACCCGCTTGGATCAGCACTCGTATCATGTCCAAGTTGCCGCCATCGGCCGCCATGAAGAGAATGTATGGATTGTAGCGGTTTGGGTCTGCACCAGAGGCGAGCAAGAGCTGCACTAGCGCAAGATTGTTCATGTGTATGGCGTAAAAGAGAGGTGGTTTGACGGGAGGGACGTCCGCCAGAAAATTCACGTCTGCTCCCTCCGATATCAGATATACGCATATCTCGGGGTCCTGGGACGCCACCGCTTCAGTGAGGGCGAAGCTCAGGTATTGTGTGTGCGTTTGGACCGGAACCGGCTGCAGTGGGCCAGGTGGAGGTATGTCTCTTGGTATAGCAGGTGGAAGAACGGGAGCGAGCAGTTGGACCACATCCATGTGTCTTTGGCGGGCCGCATAATCCAAGGCTGTCGCTGGGTCAGGACATGCGCGCGCATACGCTGTCATCCGTTTCTCCTCCTCATCCTTGCCCAGCAATTTTATGACCATGGCCCGGTGTCCAAGCGTTGCTGCAATGTGGATCAGGGTGCACCGGCAGCTTTTGAAATTATATTCAGAGTTTGGATCGATCCCTTCAGCGATAAACCTGTCAAATGCCGTGTCTAATTGGTGTTGAACGGCGAAGAGAAGAGCAAGCCGGCCTAGAACCTCGACCCTTGTACAGAGGTAATAAAGTGCCGGATTGAAGGCACGGTGTAGGGCAATGCTTGTCTGGGAGAGGGAATTAATGGAAGGGAGGTCGGGAACGAGTTCCGGCTCGCGGTGTGAGTTCCAGGTCAGACAATTGTCTGGGTCAAGGATTATTTCCCGAACAGAGAGCGATGCAATGTGGATGATCAGTTCTGCAGGAAGATCGCGGAATCCTGCCATCGCAGAGCCGTGGGCGTTGAAGTCGAAATGCGGGCGTCACATGCCATGCCGTACGGACGGTAAAATGCACCTCCATCGTCTATCGACGTTCCAGGCTTTTTATAAAAACCTCCGTCTTCTCAAATATTTTCTCCATAACCTTTCATTTGAATCGTAAAAATTCCCTTCCCTAATGCATAATAACCACCCGCTCGCCGTTGGTGAAAAGTATGGGAACCGAAGTCCAAGCTGCAGGTCTTTCTTCATTGCTCGCACCGCACTGAGCATGGTGGTCATGTATGAAAAGCAAGTCTCATGAAAATTTCTACATTCGATACCTCTACTGGGTCTTGAGTTTCTCGCCTGAGGGGTCGAAGTCAATCAATGAAAAGTCGACGAGTTCAAATGAATCACGACGTACCCTTCTGCTTAATCGGACCAACCGCGCCATTCCACACCTCGGGCGCCAGGTTCTTCACCGTACGGGTAACGAAGAGCGTGGTGAGGACCACCACGCATACCGCGCGCGCCGTGTGCGGGTCGAGCGCCTCAACGACGCCGCTCTTCGTGGCCACGCCTCCACCGAGCATTCCGGAGAGAACGGTGTGCAGGTCGGCCCAGAAGGGTTGGGGGTGCGTAAGGAGGGCGTAGATGCCCGTGACGAGCGGCGCACACCAGAGGTCCGTCGCGGTCCATCCGTAGGGCTGGAGCTCGGGCGGCGTCTGGAGTGCGATGGGCGTCGGGTTGAGGAAGGAGAGGAGGTTGGTGAGGAAGAAGCCACCGTTGGCGGTCACCTGCAACCCGGCCAATTAAATATTGTATTGACAGGCTTGCGCAATGGAAACGTACGAGGGACGTGACGAGGAGCGTCCACGGCGATACGGCGATGACGGGAGACGTGTTGGCTGTGACGGCGGGAGGGATAAGGTTACACAAGAGAAAGGCACGCGTGAATCCGTCTACGACCGACAGCGGGAGCTCGGTGTGGATTGTCATTTCCGGAACAGCGGGGAGCATTTCTACCAGCGATTGCACAACAGCGTAGAAGACGGGGACCACGCCGGAAATCTGTATCGAGTTAATAACGATAAAGCGCTGTCAAGAGAGACTACCGGAGACCATGAAGGACGGTGGAACGCCCAGTAGCGGGGCTGAGGCGCGATTATAAGCTTGGAAATATGACCTGAGAGCCGGCAATACGCACCCGTCATGACCTGCCACCACCCGGACGGTCAGACGGAGGTCGAGAAGTATCTCGAACCACTTGCCTCCCCACCATACACCACAGTCAGCGTCGTCGATATGTCCCTGGCAAAAGCCTTCGGCGCGACAGTTTCAACGCCGTTCTTGGATACATGTTGGCGATACAGAGATTCCTTGATTTGCCTTAGCACGATACAGAGTCGAAATGCGGCGACGACGTCTAGAGTGCTGAGGGAAATATTGAACCAGGTGAACGGGGCTATGGGTTGGAGAGTGTAATTGAAGATCTGTATTATTGGCGTAAGAAGAAGAGACATCGTAAGGTCGTCTATGAGAGCGTCAGAGTCGAGAGCGTCGAGGCCAAGTTGTGGCAAGCGACTAACCGCTTGTGTGGCCACGTTTTCCGCATTCGGTTACCCACGTTCATTCCCGCACAAAGACATTTGAGATCGTTGCAATTGAACAAGTAGTACAAACGTGAGGTAGAATAATGCCAGTCAAGTGATATAGTAGAGTGGCCATGGTTTGAGTATTAAAAAGTCCGTAGAAAATCAAATTTAGCAGTAGCATGGATCGCAAATATAGCAAATGGCACATCTATCTGAATGAATGAACCACCCACCTGAGATCAGTGTCCGTCAGTTATCTTAAGATTGGTTAGCCATTGAAGGAAACTGAAAGAGAAGAAACATTATCCGCAGACCCGGACTCAGACTCAAGTTCCAGGCCCGAATCCAGATACAAGTCTGGAAAGCCACCGTGCAGTGGCATCGCAATAAAGTAGCACTTCGATTGAGGATAGAGCTTGAGGCTGACGAAAGGATTGAAGTCCCCGTCTTCGTAGTAGCGCCGTACTTCGGAACCAATGGGGAAGCGGTTGCCGATGACCTGGTACTCAGTATCGGGGGACATCAGGTTGTCTTGATAGTGCATGAGGATAAGTTTTTTCATCTGTTTTGAAATCATGAGGCCGAAAATTCAGGACCGAAATGGCGGATGGGCGAACCTCCTGCGAGATAAGATGCGGCGTGTTCCAATACTGCTTTCCGTTTTGTCGAATGATGTCAACCTCAAACTCCCCGATGAATTCGAAGGATCTCCTCTCCCAGTCGGAGGGGCTCGGGGGTCCAGGTATTGGTCTCTCGACAAAGACGCGCTTCCTCTTGCCATAAAACGGGTTAAAATGAGGGGGGGATTCAGCTATTAATTCGTCGAGTAAATAATGTTCAGCTTGAAAAGACTTTGCAGAAAGGTCAAGATGAAAGTGGCCATCTATACCAGCAGCCAGCGCATGCGATCGAACGATAGCATTCGGAAACATATTGTGAGTCTGAATCACGAGAGCCGGCGGACCGAGTCCGTCACATTCGCGCATCCATTTCAATAGCTGGAACTGTATGAGATGGTGGCATGGTGGGTTTTATATTGTACACACCGGTACGAGCTCCGCCAATGTGATGAGTTGACCTATTGGGTAGATACGGTAGGTTGGCTCTAAAGCCGTCATCCTGTCACGGACGCGGCGGTATGTTCTCCGAATGACGGGAGGCGCCTTCCTAACATCTTCGGGCTGATTAATAATAAACTTTGCCATCTCCTGCCATTGTAGAAGCTCGGCGAGTGGGACATATCTGGCGAGATCATCCAAGTCTACCCTGCCAACGTCGTCTGCAGGGTTATTGGTGAGAAATTCTTGTGGGTTGAGGTTCGGGTAGCTTCTGGGTGGCATAGGTGGAGTGGCAAGATTGTGGAGGCAAGAGACAAGAAAGAAAAGTGGTGACAGGCCAAAGAAATAGTCCCTGTCACATGGTCGCGCTTTGACGAATGCCACATTGGGAGGAATAGAAATCTCGGTTAACCTGCTCGGTGAGGCGAGTTCAAAAAGGAAAGGTCGTCCAGTCGTTCAGCAGCGTTCAGTGGAGGCAACAATCATCCAGGGGTTTTCCATTTCTGCGCATTCTCCGATATCGGCAACTTGCTTTGCCCAGTCCTTCGAGCGAGAAGCCTCGTTTTCCTTCGCTAGATGTGTTGTTTTCCTTCGCTAGAATGTTTTGTTTCTCTAAGACTGAATTTCTCGACTGGAGAGCCTCAAGACCACGGAAGACGACATGACCGTTCGGATTCAGGTCATCCGTGGCTATACAAGCACCAATAACGTCACGTATCTTATCAGATTAGAATATCTGAATTGGATCATCGTGCCGATTGAACACCCATTCGCCAGCCGCAAATTCGCGAGCCATTTAACGCTATATAAAAGATGGAACGGCATACAGGTACACAATATC